CACACCTCTCAGATGTTTTTTTCTCCAGTGCACTGTAACAAACACGAAAACAGACATAACCAACAAAATACTACTAAAATAACACAAATTAGGGCCCGTTGCAGACATGTCCAAGCATAAAACTATCCCTCTCTCGCTTACGAGAAAGAACACAAGCCAAAGCTCACTGATAAAATCAAGCTAGCGCTAAACAAAACCAAACAATCAACCAGAAATTCACAGGAACGTTTTTGCTTCCTGCCGGGACAATATTGTGTGGGAATGAGAACCTCAGGTGCCGTAACACCTTTTGTTCCTCCTTGAATTAAAACTCAATCACAGAAAATGCCGTACTCCGACCTAAACTTACACTATTAATTCATCATTTTCACTCTGTGCCACTGTTCCTCATCAGGGCTGTGTGAAGCACAGCAAAGAATTCAGTCAAGGCCTTGAGCCATAAACAGACATCACGCACAGACATTGTTTTCATAACCAAACCGTTTTAGACCTTATTCCTAAAATCTACATAAATGCCTTCTAGGTGACATATAACACATTCTAAGTAATCAATGGCTCCTCATAAAAATTATGCATTGGGATGTTTGTGTGCAGCATTTTGCATATCAGCATAAGCAAAGCGTTCTTCATTGCATCAGCGTGTGTGTGTGTGTGTGTATGTGGATCACTTCTCAGTGAATCAGCATTCCAATGTGTGTGTGTGTGTGTGTGTGTATATGTCATTTCTCACTCACTCAACGAGTGCACGTGTTCATGTGTGTATTTCACTTCATTCTGAATCTGTGTGTTTGGAGACGTGTGTGTGTGTGTGTGTGTGTGTGTGTGTGTGTGTGTGTGTGTGTGTGTGTTTGTTTCTCTTCATTCTGAGTCAGTGCATGTAGATGTGTGTGTTTGTGTGGGTGTTTGTGTTCATCACTTTCCTGTTCTGGTGTTCTGGGTAAACCACGGCCTGAAGCGTGCCCTGGGGTCCTGCCCCCCTCTTTTTCAGTTTGTTTGCGACCATTGCTGCTGCTGCTGCTCAAAATTCAGTCCGTCCTGGTTCTGACCCCAATTGGGGCAGTCCTTTCTCCAGTGTCGATGTTCACCGCAGGTGAAACCTGCATCTTCTTCTGTGTTTTTGTCCATTCTGAGGTGCCTTCTGTCCTCAGTTACTCCTCTTGTCTCGGTCACGCCCTTTTTCGCCACCCGATCATCCGTGTTGGTCCATCACTGTCCTGCACAGTGTGAATGCAAAGTTATCAAGGTCAGCATTCTTTCGCTCGGCCTTACTTTTCATTCGGGCTTGGCGGGCGTCTCTTTACAGCTCTGTCAGCTGACGCAGTCTGGGAATTTTCCCCCGTGTAGTGAAACGGGCCTTAGGTTTAGTGCTCTCCGTCTCGGCTGCATGAGATCACATTCCTGCAGGTCTGTTGACATTCTCAGGTCGTTGTTGTGGGTCCAGCTGTTGCAGCATTTGGTCAGTGTCACGTATGGGGGAGAGCAGGAGTCCAGTCAGCCTCGGCTTTCAGGGCCGGCAAAGCAGCCTGTAATTAAATATGTATAGAAAAAACAAAACAAAACAAAAACAAACAAAAAACAAAAACAAACGAACAGGAAAATGTTGTTGTGTTGGCTGTGTTATTCAGAGGGGAGGCAACGGGGCCAGGCCCTGTGTCAGCCTTCTCTCCCCCTTTTTTTGTTTTTTGTCTCCCGATATAATCAACTCCTAACCCACCAAGTTGACAGGACAACACCGGTATATGTTAAAATTCTTAAGATCATGTTTAAAAGCCCAAAAAAGGAACTTTCTTTCATTCAGTAATCACTTTTATTAATCAATCAACAGAAAACATGTCACAATTTGAATCTTTTAACCACTAAATTTGTTGCGTCTTGCCTGGTTGGTTAGACCAGTGTTCCTTTTTTTTTTTTTTTTTTTTTAGTTAAATTGTTGTCCTGCAACCCAGAGGGTTTCTTTGTCAGTAATGTATAGACTTCATCATTTAAGTATGTTAATTTTTCTTTAACCTTGCTGGAAAATCTTCACGTGTTCATGAGTGTAAGCTGTTTCTTCATTGCGTGTATGTGCATTTGTATAAAAGCAGGTTAATTTTATCTTTTCTCAAACTAGGCGTTACCTTAAAAGGAGCCTTTCTCTCAGATTTCTCTGCTTGTGTGTGTTTTGTTTCACCTTTTTGTTGTGATGCTCCGGACGCCTTCCCAACCTCCACAAGTCCGTTGGCCCCAATTTTATGTGTTAAAACTTCTCTTAATTTCTCCTCTAATTCTCTCCCGCTGCTGTCTTTTTCACAGCTGCTGATTCGTGCTGGGTGTGGTTCCCATTACCTATAATTTTGCTTCGGCCGCTGTGCTTGTGGGGGCAGTTGGTCCAGGTCCGCAGCTTCCTGTATTAACACACTAAGAGATTTATTTAATTTCATTTTCATCACATGTTAAACCGATAAGCAGGCAACACGCCTACCTTGACAGCGTAAACTGTACGCCAGTCTCCCAACACATTCCTCTCTCTACTCCTCCATAATTCTCCACTGCACACCTCTTACTATCTCTCCTTTTTATTTTTATTACACCACAGAGTAATACACCCAATTATGCCCGTCTATCTCCATGTGGCTCCAAATTCCCTCTTTATTTTAATTTCACACTCGTCAGGGGACAGGCACACAACAATTTCAACCACTGAAACGAGGAATTCAACCTTTTTATATTTCTTTACTAATCTAGACTCAACGTTTGTTCGCAAAATGTGTCTTGTTCTAGTCCGGAAATAAATGTGAACCCGTGATTACACGGCCGTTCCAGTGTTATTTCCGTAGCTATGCGGGGGCCCTCACCTCCCCAAGTCACCACCTCGGCACCCGGACGCCGCCGGTCCTGGCCAAGCGTCCCCGGACAGGAGGGTCGCCACTCCTAGGGCAAAGTTCCACAGGTACACTAGGCATCAACCTTTGATCCTAAAATGTGTATTTGCTCTAATGTCCTCCTAATCAAACACATCAACCGTCACTGTCACTGTGTTCAGACTTCACACACACAAAAAGCACACTCAGCGCGCGCCTCACCCACAGCCAGAGCGCGCCTTACACACACAGCGCGTTTCACCATCAGTGAGACACACAGAGAGCGCTCCTCATCAGCAGAAATTTGCACAGAAACCTCTGAGCTCAACTATTAGATCTTCTGAAGCACACTGCACCATAGACCAAAATACCCTTTTCTCTGCGCTTATGACCGCCACAACGGGGCAAAGTCGCATCATAAAAGTGATGCTTGCATCCCCGAAGTTATACCTGACATCATAAACCAGGTTTTGCTCTATGTACTTCTTGGCAAGTAAAATTTTACTTTGTTTTATGACCGCAGCCCTTAAAAAAAAAAACTCGACTGACGCCACAAACCACCGTCAAGCCTCTGTTCAATGTACTAAAATTAGCACCAACCACTACTGCACTTCACGGCCGCACCACCGGAACACGGCCGTATCATAAACCAAACCTACGGACGTGTTTCGCTCTCGCGTTGCCAGTGTTCAACCGCACCGTGAAGCCAGCATCTGCTTTTCCTTAAATCAACTTCTATTTCATAGCCGGCAAGAGCCAGGACGTAACCGACACCATAAACAAACTTCAAACCTCGACTTCAATGTACTGAACTAATGGCCGCGTCTTCAGAAGAAATTCTAATTTATTATTGCTACAGAAGCCAGTATTAGACAAAATTAAATGTGGAAGGTAAAGTGGCTGCAACTAGTCCAACGTAGTATGTTATTAGTATCTCGGTAGAAGCAGATTACTGCAACTAGTCCAACGTAGTATGTTATTAGTATCTCGGTAGAAGCAGTTTATTTAACACACTGGAATTCAGCCTCAACTTATGTTGTTAGTATCTTGCGCCAAAAACCAGACACCGACAAATTTACTGTGAAAATACATGTGACTCAGCGAACAGATTAATTTGGAAAGCCCACTATGCACATTTGGTATTTATAATACAACAGGCTGTGCTTACCTTTTTATTTTTGGACCGGTCCTCTGTTCACCTCGCCTCACGATCTCACCAAAGGTCAAATCTGCACCTCCTCAGCACACCAAAGATCCGGGTCACACGGCACCAAGTTGTTGAAATCTCCCAATTCTTTGAATCTTTGGGCTGAAGGAAGGACAATACTCGGTGTATCAATGCTCAATCAACAATCATTTATTTCCATACAATTCAACAGTCAGAGCATTACAACGTCCGGACGGGAGAGATGCTACCAGAGGGTCAGGCACATGTCTCTAAATGGTGACGGGTTGCTCAGCTTTTTATAGTCTCTAGTGGCCCCCAGCTAGTCGTAAAAGCCAAAACATCAAATTTTTTCTCTGTTACAGCGCCTAAGTTATGACCTCGGCAGTTGTTTCTCTGCTTTCTGTAAGGTGGGGGTGTGGAATGTGGTCTATCTATCTCCCCTGTCTTTAGACACAGAGTCTCCTGCTTACAACCTTCTCTTCATGATTCAACAATTAAGCATGTCAAGAAAACAGTGTAACACATTCCCAGCAGATCAAGGATACAGAGTGATGCACATTTATCTAATGAACTAATATGTGAATATGTTCTGTTAACTCAAAAGTATAATGAGAACTAAACTACATACAGCTCACACACTCTATATTAAAGGGTATAATGTGATCTACAGCAGTATTCTAATTCAACTACTTTGATTACATATATAAGGTAACATATAATAACAGAATAATCTAATAAGGACTGATGCTGGTTAGTGGTGTAGGTTTCATGGATGTGACACCTTGTGTAAAATGACGACCAGAGCATATTATTAGGTCAGTTCACTGTAGTTAGGCAGAGGTGTCTTAAAAATTACCATCTTATACAAAACAAATGAAGGTTCAGTATAAGAAAGAATAAGAAGAGAAAAAAGCAACATCCTGCTAAATGAAGTCATTTTTAAACATTACTCTAAATGTAGCCATTAGTTTTTGTTGCTGCGCTCTCTGCCCTCCCTAATTGACATATTTTGTTGTTTTGTGTGTGTGTTTGTCTGTGTGAAGTTTTGATGTGTATGTGAAAAACACAATTTTGAAAACACTGGAAAAAGTCCTCAAGACATGTTTTCCTTTACTTTCTATGAAACAACAATTCCCACCAAGGCTTTTCAGGGTGAAATTTAGTGCATAGAAAAACCTGTGCCAGGTTGTCTCCATCTAGTGGTGAACATGGCCTCACCACTACATCAGGTGAGCTTTTCACTGTGCACAGTGACACAAAAGTCATTTAACAATTTTAAAAAAAGCAATGTTACAGATTCAGTAAGAACTGAAGTTTATCATAATCCTTCAAGTTTGACTCAGTAACAGCAGCTTTTTAATATTATTGGCTATATTTTAGAGTCACATTTATATGAAATGTCAAACAATCACAGAGTGACACTGAACTAAACAATCAATGCCATGTGAGTTGTTCTTGTTTGTTCTTTATCTCGGATTTATTGTAAGCAGCGGGAGTAGAAGCTAAAGAAAAATAGTAAAGATATGAATGAATCTCTGCTCTTACAGCTTTTATTGTGCCATAATGTCTGCTTTGAAACCGTCCTCTTGCTCGTCTCTTGGATGCTCACCTCTTCTTCACCTGTTCCTTTCACCAAACTGCTGCACTCTCGTTCTCTGCTCTCGCCTCCTCTTCTGGTTATAATTAGAATGCAGTCAGCATGTGCCAAACAAACTCCCCCCAAATCGATCATGTTTGATATGATGATGATGTTTTTAACATCTTATTTATGCACTTGTTGGGTGGGAAAGAGTAAACAAAGATGGGGCATAGAAGCAGAACTGATACGTGTGGAGGGACAGTAACTGTGTGTGTGTATGTGTAAGCATTTAAACACTGCAGAGAGTCAAATTAACAGTAACACTATTTTGTCTAAGTCCGCCATTGTAGAAATTCATTTCACCGAAACAATAACATGGCGCACAATGTGACAATAAACGTATAAAACACAAATTCTTACCTAGCAGGAGAATAAATAATCAGTATTTTAAGGCTACTGCATGTATAGATGTCACTGCTGGCTCACATAAGCTAGCTCTGAGACCCGCCAGAGTTTACGCCACAGTTGACTGTCGCGAAAGAGTCGTAAATCACCGGCATTGTAAAACTTAAAATGATTCCAGGGCATGTTATAAAACACCCAATAGATGTGCTGGATATTAAACGGTATCAAACGACTAAATGAACACAGGGTTACAATTACATGCTCACGTCGTCACATCGAGAGTTTATTCATTAATCATCAGAGTTCAACAATGTTACATCCAGTTGAAAACAGCTTCACTAACGCCAGCAAAACAGGCTAACAGTATATAAGAGCACAGAAACAGCCGTGCTTATCGACAGCTCGACATATCCTCAACAACTCACCTCAGTATGTGTAACCCGTTCATGTGTTACGCCTGTTGTTCTTGCGTTGTGTTCTGGCATGAAAGTAAGAGGCAGGAGACAGTACTGGGTCTTTGGCTCTTTACTGCACATCTGCAACACAGAAACATGTGTCTGATCTGTGTGTGTCACGCGACTGCCAGTACACCTCTCCTCCGGCCATGCTGAAAGCAGCTGTGTCTGCAGCTTCATTAACACTACAATAATATAATGAATCAAATACAACAAATTGTTTTAAAACATTAACTTAAGCTCTCAAAAACAAAAAGCACAAATAAATAATATGTCACTGAAAAAACATCAAAAACAACTTATAAGAACAATAAACAAAATAATTCAAAAACAAATAAACAGTCAGATAAATACAATTCAATAACCAGGACCCAATATTCTGGTACTTATAGTTCAAACATTATACTTCAGTACAATTATATTAATAACCGCCATCTAACAGGCAGTACAACACTGTACTTATAAAAACAATGACTGAAAGACTGCATCTCCAAAACATAAGAACATCTCCATACCTGCAACACAGAAATATGTGTCTGATCTGTGTGTGTCACGCGACTGCCAGTACACCTCTCCTGACGAAGGAAAAAAGAGTGCATGCTGTTAAAAAAAGACTGCCGCGAGTAGCCGCTAGCAATCAGGCTAACTTAGCATGCTAGCATTTTAGCTGCGTTCTCGGCTAAAACTCATTATAAGCGTATATTAGTGAACTCCGCCCTCCACAAAACTTATCCCGAATGAGTCTCTTAATGACAAACAAAAACGCGGCGGTTTGGCTGTATTCACATTGCAGCTTGGGATCTGAACAAACTTTAATTAGCTGCGAGCAAAGTGGCAGTGACTTACCTCCGGCCATGCTGAAAGGAGCTGTGACCGGGGCACACATGCACGCGCCTACGTCACCACGCAGCGCACACACACACACACACACACACATGAACGCAATATACACATATGCAGCATATTTATTTTACTTGGTTTTAGAGTTGGAGTATTTACATATTGATCTGAAATATTTTGCTGCTGAGCAGCAGAGCTCCAAAGCGTCCCCCTGTAACCATGGTTATGCAGATGCGTTCCGACTGTCACGTCACCGAGGAGAACCTGTTTCAAATGTATACCTGGATCAACCTGCAATCAGTTTGAAAAGTTTTCTGTTGCGATCCGCAGCTCGACTTCCTGGCACCCCGGGATGAGTTGCTGTGTTTTTCACGGAGAAAAAATAATTAACATGGAATAACGTCAGTGTTAGATGAAAAAAAAAAGATGCAAGCAGAAAAGGACAGCAGATTGAGAAGAGATTTATTCAAACGGTAAGGAGCTTCTAACAAGTGATATCTGATAAGCTTAAAACTTAAATCTAATGTCCAGATTCATGCTAAACTTTTCTGATTACTCCGTGAATCTGCACCGTTAGACTTTTCATCGCCACTTTACGGTAACATACTGGCGTCACTGCTGCCAGCGTCATATCGTGACGCCGTGTTACGCTAGCTTACCTTTCTGCAGGATGATACCGTTTTTTGCTGGTGTGGTATAATACTCTTGGACAAATTATGGTAACGCACCGTAGCCTTTTTTACGGTATCTCACTGGCGACAGTTATGTCAGTGAGATACCGTTATGTCGTTATGTCGTAAATTACGTCAACAAAGTAACATCATACTGTGATTAAGAAATTGGTATACTACCGTTTATTCACGGTATGTCACTGTAAGCCCGCTGCAAGGTAATAAACTGCAATAAATTAACCAGTAACTTACCGTTATCACGCATCATCAGTACCAAAAATATTCATCTCTGCTAGAGGATACCGTGTCCTAACAGGCGGTCATTTACTCTTTTAACAGGTCGTAATTTACCGTAATTTCAGTTAACAGTAACATACTGTAAGAGACTGGAGGGTTCCAAAAAATTGGATGGATGGACACACACACACACACACACACACACACACACACACACACACACACACACACACAAAATATAATTCATGTGCTTTACACCACTTTATTTCAATTCTGATTCTTCCCTGCTGAAATACACATTTCCAAAATCAATAACTGAAAAGAACTGAAAACATATTTTCATTGAGCAAGCACTTGTTTTTACTAAACCATGTAATACATTATTTTCTCAGATGGTTGTACAAACAATAACGATATTATGTCATGTCCATATCATGGCAGACAACACATGCTCAAGTGTTGGGTTTCCTTAGTTATATTTTGTAGGGTCTCAAACCTACAATGTGAAGTGCCTTGGCATTCATTTTGTTGGCACCATACAAACAAACTGAATTGTAATGGATATAATATCAAGCCCCACACGTCTGCCTTTATATACACTTTGTCCAAAATACTGGCTCACACCACCAAATCAATGCACAAAGCAGGGTCCACGACATGGATGAGCGTGTGTGGTGTGAAGGAACTTGACTGACCTGCACTGAACCCTGATCTTGCTTTGTGGACTGAGTTCATTGATTTGTAGGGTGAGCCAATACATGTGACAATTAAAGTGTAAGTAGTTGAAATAATTTTTAACAAACAGGTAAAAGCAGGAAAAAAAATCAACACTTGCACTCAAAAAACCTATTGGACAGAAACAGCGTCTTGCAAGATGGCGAGAGAGCTTGTCTTCATTGTTGCTCGTCTTGTGTAAATATCCAGAAAGCATGGGCCATGGATCATCTGTGGAGACATGGGTAACACACATAGGTCACTTAAATTATACAAGAAATTTACTAAAAATGGCAAAAACAGTTACCTAATTTGAAGTTCTCCACTCAAATTCAGTAAGCCACTGGAGGAAAGTTGTTACATGAGGGTTAATGTGAACAACCTTTCGCTTCACAGTGGTCCCAGTCCTTCTTGTCCCAACCTTGGAGGTACATTTTGTTCCCTCTTCTGGGTTTATCCTTACAAAAAACCTTGCACACGCTGACTCCTGGTATTCCAGGTTCAATACATAGAATGAACCAAAGAAGACTGACATTGCATCAGCAAAGATGTTCTCTTTGTCCAGCTCAACAATTACACGCCCCTCTGCACTCACCATCCAGCAGGTGGCGGTCATTGAACTTTGTCCTTAAATGTATAGGGGCAACATGTTGTCATTATGCAACATAAAATAATTTCAATACTTCACTTCTTCACACTGTCTAGATAGTCATAAAGCAAATACCTACGTACAGTTAATTATTAATGGCCTTATGTACATAAGTCCATTTTAACATATTATAATTGTACATAATTGGGAATTATTCTGCCCATTAAACACACCTAACAAAGAGTCAGCCCAGTTAAAGTACCGGAGGTGAATCAACTGTATGGTTATTTTGGAGTTTATAGTTTGTGCTGCTGTTAAACTTTACAGTATTGACTTCAGTATTCCTGCTGTTGGTGTAGCTAGACTACTATGTTGATCAGTAATATGTAATGTGAAATTTGATATTGTTACTTTGCTGGATTCACTGAGACACATGTCCAACAACCTTGGTTTATAAAGGAAATTACAGAAATTTGAGCTAACAAAACAGAGACTGGATACCTGTGTCCACGAAAAGCTCCTGTGCCAAACAGAAATTTTAATATGGTCTAATCAGCTCTATTTCATAAATGACTTCTTACCAAGCATAATCAGCCTTGGGGTGCTTGGCAGGCTTTTAACATGCAAGCTGAACAATATAAATTTGTGTGCACTGAAGCCACAAAATTTAGAAATACACAGTTGCAAAAAGTTCAGTGACCAATTACCTTTGCTAAAGGACATATGCAATGCAAAAAGTAAGAGTATTGTCAATAGGGACCAATTCCCAGTTTTTACATGATCAAAATTATTCACAAAAGGCTTCAATAAACAGAAAATGTGTGCCAACAAGAGAACAGTGCACAAAAATGAAAAGATATTTGAGCTCGACGCTTTAATGGGTTTAACATGACTTAGTCAGCAGTCCGCACCGTACAGGTAGTACAAGCACACCTGAAAACACTGACCAGCTAACAGCTTTAAGCATTTGGGCGCAACCTCGGTAGTTCACCGATTCACCTGTTGCAAACGTCCAAGTTTCTATCAAGTCTCATAAATCCATCGGCAACTATTACCTAACCAGTCTTTTGAGTCTCCACATTCATAGATATTGACATTTTGTCTTTGAATGAAAATATCCTGGTAGGGTAGCTTAAAAGTCAAAACAAACAGTACTAAGAACGCATTTCGGACTTCTCTCGAATAAGTGAAAAAAACACTTACCTTCAGACTGATTAGCTGGTTCCGATCCAACTTGAATGTGTCCCATGTCAGTCCGTTTTAGGGAAAAAGTGTTAAGTGGTTTCATTTAATTTTGGGATACTCCCGCATGGACGAGCTGCAATTTGGAGTCTAGCAGAGTTATCACGAATAGCATATGATCTTCAGATATAATCCAATCAACCTTGCATTTAATCCCATTGAACATCCAGTTACCTCTGACTACTTCTAAGTTGCACATGTTAACAGTCTCATCATCACTCTGTGCTGCAGCGAACTGAATCTGTGGCACAGAATAGTTGATGGCCATGTTGTTCTCCTGCTTTGCACCTTTGTTTGAGTCTGAATTGCAGCTTAAACGTGCAAAACTAAGAGAAGCAGATCAATATTTTCTTCTTATTGTTATTTAATGGTGGTTGGCAACCAGCGAAAGGAGCATTAACCACCTCGAGCAATATTTTCTATTTTCTATCCCCATTTTTGTTTTGAAAGTGAATACCCGACGTGTGCGTCATACGTCACGTTGTACGTCAGGTGAAGGTGTGGTGTCGGCTATCGCACCTGTCGCATTACAAAGCTTTAAAACATAACAATCGCTTTAAAAACACAACCCAACGCGCTAAACTGTGATAATGTGTTACATTATCACGTATATCCAGGACATCTCTTCTGAACCAAGACGAAGTGGTGCTACAAAGGAATTATTTCTTTAGGAGAGCATTTAATAGCAGTCTGGCCTGCAGCAAAATGCACCGCTAAAAATACAGTTTCTGCTTGTCCCAGAATTTATTAATTTTGAGAGTGAAGTTGTAGGACTGATGCTGGTTAGTGGTGTAGGTTTCATGGATGTGACACCTTGTGTAAAATGACGACCAGAGCATATTATTAGGTCAGTTCACTGTAGTTAGGCAGAGGTGTCTTAAAAATTACCATCTTATACAAAACAAATGAAGGTTCAGTATAAGAAAGAATAAGAAGAGAAAAAAGCAACATCCTGCTAAATGAAGTCATTTTTAAACATTACTCTAAATGTAGCCATTAGTTTTTGTTGCTGGCCATACAAAAAATAAGTATACTTCAATTATATTTCCCAAGTATACCTTACCTAGTACGTATACTAATAATGCTTCTTGGTACTATATTGGCCCCCGTTTTAGTACATAACAGTATTCTTGAAATTAACTTTTAGATGTACTTTTTGTTCACCATAATTGTACTAGCATAATGTCATAATGTCTACAAGGGTATAATTAAAATATACTCGACTCTATCACAATACTAACCTTACAAGTATACTATTAATTAATAGTATTAATAATGTTTCACATTGTTTGACTAAACAAATACCTTTATTAATATATGAGGTTCCATTCAGTTCAAGGAATTAAATTTTAGTGTGGCTGCAACTTACTCCTTAAGTTAAAAATCATGCTGTATATTGTAGTTTATATGTTATGCTACTTTCACAGTGAATCGCATTTTATAGTAATACACTCTGAATGAGGATTTAAGTAATTACTCTTAGATCTACAGTAGAAAACAACATAAATCCGGATGGTGTAATAGTATAATCTCAGTAACATCACCAATTGTTACATTTGCTGTATTTTACAGCTGTTTCCATGAGTACGGTGAGTTACCGTAAAAATAATGTAATCTCATGGAATTTTC